TATCCCCTCAGTTGTCCTGCACTGCTAAAGTTGCCCCAGATATAAGCTGTTCTCATCCAGTTCTTGGACCCATGAGAGTAAATCGTAAATACCTCTGGATCAGTTAATTGTAAATATGATACCTGTATGACAACCCCGATAACTCACTTTTATTATCAATATTGTCCCTCTTCAGTTGTAAGTAATATTTGGTTTGTGTTATAATAAGTCTTGTAATAATTAATAATAACATGACGTTTTCTGTTATACTTCTTGAGAGAAGAAAAAATAACTTCCACATATTGGCTGTACAGAAAAATTAAATAAAATTTCAATTATGTTGACTTCATATCAAGAATACCTTTTTACAGTACTACTACTGTCCTGTAGCTAAGGTTGTCCGTGGTATATGATTAACAAATTCTGCCTTAATAGTATCACCTAGATTACCGCTAATGTTTCACAAGAAATTCTATATTTACGTAGGGCAGCTGGAAGTGAGTGTACGATATTGAAACTGTGTACTCGGTGAATGACCAACACTGATGTCTGCCCAAATGTCTTCCCTGCAGACACTAGCCATTAACTCTAACGATATACAGTACATATATAAACACCGTGACCATCAGCAGACCAAACCTCCAGGTGCTGGTAATGTAGTTCATCTATACTCACTGCTTCACTGCTAATACTTCCATCATCCCCTGCTGGAGGAGAAGAGTGGATCTGTCTCTGAAGAGTAAAGGTTAACTGGGCCTCCATGCCATAGTTCTCTGTCAACACTGACATCCGTCACTTCATCTGTAGGAGGCTCATATTTATTAAGAGTTTAAATAGTGGTTACTCTCGTATTTCTAAAACAATGTTGGAAAAATAATTCACTACAATGTTCCCAAACTTCTGTTTCATTGTTCAGTTTATATATTTGTTTTCTTTCTGTGAGACAGGTGTTATAATCATAATTTCACTGGTCAAGGCGATCAGTAAATAAATCGTTCACACTTTTGTCTTTCCAATACAGTATTCACTTTTCACATAACATGATAAGTACGTTGTTGATTAAGGTCCAGCCTACGGATATTAAAAGCAATCAGATTCCACTTAGATGAAACTGGGAAACAACGTCGGTTTATTAGAGTTACTGTATAATTTATATTCATCAGTCTAAGTTCCGTCCCTCCTGACCTGACTAACATAGATTTTGCCGAGTGGGGGAGTTGCTTATAAGTACTATCACTCATGTCAAAATTTTCTCTTATCGCTTTTTTTTTCAATTTTACATTTGTATGAAGTCTTTCGCACTCCACATTTTATTTTTGTGAAAATCAAGGTTTTCTCGGCTTAACTAGAATTTTTTGGGGAATCACTGCGAAGCCCACGCGATCAAATGGATCTTCCCCCACTTACTGTATCAGCCCCAACTGCTAGATACATAAGACACTGGTGACCACGGCTTGATCACGTCCCTCTCACCCCTCTCAGACACCGTCACCAACAACTACATAATCACCCCACACCACTCCACCACCACTATAGACAATGTAGCATCACCAACAACTACATATTCACCCCACACCACTCCACCACCACTATAGACAATGTAGCGTCACCAACAACTACACACTCACCAGCGACCATGAGGGAAAGGCACAACACTGCCACCAACAGTTGCCTGGCAGTCAATACTCACGTGAACACATCACTTATTGTCGTTCTAACGAAAGGTTCGGCAACAAGTGAGACTGAGGCGGTTGTTTTAGTACGGCAGATCTTGCGCGGTTCAGTAAATTTGACAAAAAACTGCTACACAGTGATAAACATTGTCGGTCAATCAATCAGGATAAGCAGCTATTGAATTTCCTAATGCAGCGAAAAACCAAGAAAGGAACTGCTAGATAAAAGCCAATTAACTATAAGCTGGGATGAACCGATGCTGTGGAGGGTGACTGTACGGTGGGTAGCAATAAGGAAAACATATTCACCACAGAGTATTAACATAGTCATGTAAGCTAATTTTCAAAAGAATTTCATAATATTGTTAAACAAACTCAAGCTAGTACAACAAGAGGGGCAGAAAAATAGTTTCCATCAGAGCGAAAAATACGGCGCGAGATGTGGTATGTAAACAAGAACAACAATGCCTGCAGGTGAAGGGGGAAATAGGGAGCTGGAACCTGAGTTAAAATTGTTGAATTTACAAAGCGAGTCAGTAAATGCTGCGCTTCATTTTGTAAAGGAAAATTTAATATTTTTATGAAAAATCCGAAAATGAAGTTGAAGTTAAAAGTGAAATGTTTTAATTTACGAATAAAACTGAAACAACATGAAAAATCTCACAATATACAATGGCAAGGAAAATAATCATCGGCACTAACGCATGACACAAAAATTAACGTTTTTTAGATGAAAGGTAAAAGGTAAGAGACGACAATTAATGCGTACTGGGTAGTGGGTGAGGACACAACAAGGTGAGGAAGTGAGGGCTACATTGATTCTTTCTCTTGCCTACTATCCTCTTCCTCCTCTCTCCTCCTATTCTTTACCCTTTTACTTCTCCTCTTAGTTCCTTTCTTCCTCCTACACTGCCTGTTCCTCCTGCAGAGATGAAGGCGAGCAGGATGGGAAAACACATTCATATACGTCCTAAGTGAACCAAATACTCCACTGAGCCATGGATCTTGTTCCCGTAATCCTCCCCACATCATATCATCTTAGCGTCATCCTGCCTTTCTATCCTAATCTTACCAGCGGTTACTTCTATTAATTCTCTTAAGGTTCGTTAATCACCCACTAATGTATTTTACTTTATAATAATTTGTTACAGGTAGAATATAAAACACACACACACACACACACACACACACACACACACACACACACACACACACACACACATGTTGCAGCATCATTAACTCCATCACAATAGCAATAGCAGAAGCATCTTAATTTGCACTCCCTCGAGAGACGTAGAGTGCGGGGCGATATGATAGAGGTGTATAAATGGAAGTCAGGGCTGAACAAATGGGACATCAGAAAGGTACTCAAACTATCCAACCAGGAGCGTACTCGTAACAATGGTTTTAAATTAGACCAATTTATATTTAGGCGCGAAATAGGCAAACATTGGTATGGAAATAGAGTAGTGGATGAGTGGAACAAGTTACCGAACATCATCATCAACTCGAATACGCTAGATAGGTTCAAACAGAGGCTGCATGGATATATGAGCAATAGCAGTTAGGTGTAAATGGGACTGCCCAGTATGGGCCAGTAGGCCCGCTGCAGTTCCCTCCATTCTCATGTTCTTATGTTCTTAATAGTGACCCAATATTAAATCACATCCTAAACCACCATCGCACCGTGTACAGCAAATACACCCAGGATATTTACAGGGGACTGCGCCAGCACTATGTCTAGCAGGTATATTGGCAGGGGTTCCTTGTCAGTGCTATGTCCGGTAGCTATATAATTAATGAATTAAGGTCATGACGTCTCCTGCCAATATCTTCCACCTGCTGACTTCAAAATCAATAAACACAATTTCTGATACACACACACACACACACACACAGGTTGTAGACTCCTCGGCGTCAACATAGACAACAAACTAAATTGGAAAAACTTGCCAGTGAAGTTGCCAAATCCACCAGTTTCCATCTCCACCTCCTCCGCCGAATCAAGTCCCTAGGAGTTCCTGCGCCCGAGCTCCTCTGTGTTTACTCTACATTCATACTTCCCAAACTCACCGATGCCTCCCCTACCTGGTCTTCCTCCCTAAATGCCACACAACGTAAACACCTAAAAAAAGTGCAAAAGAGGGCATGCAAGATTATTCTCTCCCCTTCCTACTCCACATATCAAAAAGCGCTCAACACACTGATCCTCTCGGCTCTCTCTGACCGTCACCACGACCTCATCTGCAAATTTGGTGAGACGCTTCTGCAGCATCCTCGACACCGGCTCCGACTACAACTCGAGATCCCTCGTCCGAGAATTGCTGTTCGACACCACAACCACATCCAGCCCATACGAGCACGAACTGACCGCTATAAGAACAGCCCAGTCCCAACCATTGTAAAAATTATCAATAACTTGTAATCAACCAATGTATTCACTCCCAGTCAATCATACCCTTTTGCACTGCCACTATGTTGAAATGCCCTGTAGTATGGCTTTCTCCCCACCTAGTCATTATACTGTATAGTGTATATCATTTTTGTATCACTTACGTTACATGTATATTATTTGTAAATCATGTGACCCATTCCCCAATTAGGTAACTGTATATTTTTAGCCTTCCGGCTGCCATGCTCTCCTGTATGTGACCTATGTCGCGCTGCCATATAGTAGGGTGGGGAGGACCACTGCTCGATATACGTGCAATTTTTAAAATAATTTCACCTCCTTATAGTTGAAGATACGGGTACAGAGTCTGCCAAAGGCTAGAGATTCACATCTGATCCGATGTTGAATCTCTTCATCGATGTACGTGTTGGTGGACAGGTGGGAGCCGAGATACTGAAAGTGGGTAACATTAAAGAGGCATAGTACCGTTGAGCTGGATGGATGTTGGAGGTATGGCTGAGCCAGGGGATGGCTGTAAGAGAAAATATGTCTTACGTACAATCACCTCAAGGCAAAAGTGTGCATGCATATCTGCATAGGTGTTCAGGATCTCCTGTAGGTCACGTTCAGTATGAGCGACAAGGGTGAGGTTCGTCGGCAAACTGAAGCTCAGTAATGGAACCTACCGACACCTTTGTTACTGCCTGGAGTCGTCCTATGTTTAAAAGACCCTTCATCCAGTACACGATGCTCAACCTGCCGGCTAAATTAGCACTGGCACGAGTAAGCAAGGTAGCCAAGAAAATGGAAAAGAGAGTTGGTGCCAGGACACATGCTTGTTTAACCCCCGTTTGGATGGTAAAGAACTCAGACTGGGTGCCATTGTGCTGAGCACTACCGTTCCTGCCATCGTGGAACTGCCTCACGATGGCGATGCATTTTGTTGTGCAGCCAAAATGGCTGATGGTTCACCAGAGAACTTCGACCGAGTCAAAGGTCTTGGTTGTGTCGATGAAAGCCATGTACACGTCACAGTTTTCCCGTTACATATTTAAGATAGTGGTACACTCCTCCTTAAGATAGTGGTACATTCCTCCTTAAGAGAGTGGTACTCTCCTCCTTAAGAGAGTGGTACTCTCCTTAAGATAGTGGTACACTCCTCCTTAAGATAGTGGTACACTCCTCCTTAAGATAGTGGTACATTCCTCCTTAAGAGAGTGGTACTCTCCTCCTTAAGAGAGTGGTACTCTCCTTAAGATAGTGGTACACTCCTCCTTAAGATAGTGGTACACTCCCCCTTAAGATAGTGGTACATTCCTCCTTAAGAGAGTGGTACTCTCCTCCTTAAGAGAGTGGTACTCTCCTTAAGATAGTGGTACACTCCTCCTTAAGATAGTGGTACACTCCTCCTTAAGATAGTGGTACATTCCTCCTTAAGAGAGTGGTACTCTCCTCCTTAAGAGAGTGGTACTCTCCTTAAGATAGTGGTACACTCCTCCTTAAGATAGTGGTACACTCCTCCTTAAGATAGTGGTACACTCCTTAAGATAGTGGTAGACTCCTCCTTAAGATAGCGGTACACTCCTCCTTAAGATAGTGATAGACTCATCCTTAAGATAGTGGTACACTCCTCCTTAAGATAGTGGTACACTCCTTAAGATAGTGGTAGACTCCTCCTTAATATAGCGGTACACTCCTCCTTAAGATAGTGGTACACTCCTCCTTAAGATAGTGGTACACTCCTTAAGATAGTGGTAGACTCCTCCTTAAGATAGCGGTACACTCCTCCTTAAGATAGTGATAGACTCATCCTTAAGATAGTGGTACACTCCTCCTTAAGATAGTGGTACACTCCTTAAGATAGTGGTAGACTCCTCCTTAATATAGCGGTACACTCCTCCTTAAGATAGTGATAGACTCATCCTTAAGATAGAGGTACTCTCCTCCTTAAGATAGTGGTACACTCCTCCATAAGATAGTGGTACACTCCTTAAGATAGTGGTACACTCCTCCTTAAGATAGTTTTACTCTCTTCCTTAAGATAGTGGTACACTCCTCCTTAAGATAGTTTTACTCTCCTCCTTAAGATAGTGGTACACTCCTCCTTAAGATAGTTTTACTCTCCTCCTTAAGATAGTGGTACACTCCTCCTTAAGATAGTGGTACACTCCTCCTTAAGATAGTGGTAGACTCCTCCTTAAGATAGTGGTACTCTCCTCCTTAAGATAGTGGTACACTCCTCCTTAAGATAGTGGTACACTCCTTAAGATAGTGGTACACTCCTCCTTAAGATAGTTTTACTCTCCTCCTTAAGATAGTAGTACACCCCTCCTTAAGATAGTGGTACACTCCTTAAGATAGTGGTACACTCCTCCTTAAGATAGTGTTACACTCCTCCTTAAGATAGTGGTACACTCCTCTTTAAGATAGCGGTACACTCCTTAAGATAGTGGTACACTCCTCCTTAAGATAGTAGTACACTCCTCCTTAAGATAGTTTTACTCTCCTCCTTAAGATAGTGGTACACTCCTCCTTAAGATAGTTTTACTCTCCTCCTTAAGATAGTGGTACACTCCTCCTTAAGATAGTTTTACTCTCCTCCTTAAGATAGTAGTACACCCCTCCTTAAGATAGTGGTACACTCCTCCTTAAGATAGTTTTACTCTCCTCCTTAAGATAGGGGTACACTCCTCCTTAAGATAGTGGTACACTCCTCCTTAAGATAGTGGTACACTCCCCCTTAAGATAGTTGTACTCTCCTCCTTAAGATAGTGGTACACTCCTCCTTAAGATAGTTTTACTCTCCTTAAGATAGTGGTACATATAACACTGTTAGAGGCTCTGTTACCACACTGATAATCAAAACACTATTAGGAACCACAATACGTCACTATAAACCACAGCGCCCATTCATAAATCTAGAAACCAAACACCTACGACTAGAAGCCTCCAGTATAAGAGCTAAGAGGCACCATTAGAATGCCCAGTGCACCAATAAAGAGCAAAGGCACGTAGCAGGAGAGCTGAGGTCGTAGATAACCATTATGAGACATTATCTGAGTGGCCAGACAAAGTTACTGCTGGTATATATGGCATTAGTCGGAGGCTGAGCGTCCCACGCTGGCCAACACCCGCTATATTTCTCACCCGCTGCCACCACTCTCACCTCCCAGCAGTGTCTGGCAGGGTTTCTACGTCTTGGTCAGCTCACACCACCATTCTTTAACGTCTGCTCTATTCATATACAGTACAGTACATAATTAGAGTGGTTTGTGTCCAATTTTTAGCCGTAAGCTTTCACCACAGGGCGAGAACACAATGGAGTAATTTTACTGCGTCTTGGGACAATACTGTATAATAAGAACAGGAAAAACATGTTTTGTTTTCTGTGTTTTGTGATCACAACGAAAACACCAAGTTGTGTTTACACCAGACGGACAGGGCACAGTATACTTTTTTGTTACTTTGTAAATGCACACCGCAGGCAAAGTCTATATATATATATATATATATATATATATATATATATATATATATATATATATATATATATATATATATATATATATATATATATATATATATATATACTGGTGCACCACTCTCATTCCACTCCCACCACTGCACCACTCACCTCACTTCCACTCACCACCACTGCACCCCTCACTCACCACCATCCCTCACTCCCCACCACCACCATGCCACCACTGCACCCCTCACTCACCACCATCCCTCACTCCCCTCACCACCATCCATCACTCCCTTACCACCACCATTCCACATTAACTGGAGTAACAGATGTTATTGAGTTGTATTTTCTATAAACACTAAAATTTATTTTATTTCTCTTTCTGCGCAATTTCCTGCACCTTCCTTTCCCATTCTCCCACTCTCCCGTTTTCTTTCTCTTTGTCCCTCCCCTTCTATACCCCTCTTCCGTTATCTCTCACCCTCCCTCATTCTACTGTACCGTGGGAGTGTGGGCGCATGAGAGGTTTATGGGCGGGAGGTCATTACCGCACATTGGAGATGAGTGTGCGGGCTGCTAGCATGGCCCTGTACACACCAAACTACCAATAAATGTCAGCCTCAACAATCTCATTTTTCCAACCGATCTTTTTCCAATAGATTTCTGGGTGATGCTGTCTCATTTGTCTTGGGGAGTCAATCTGATAATACCAGTGGCCTCCCATCCCACCAAAAATCTTCATCTGCTTCCTGATATAAAGTCAGAGGTTTTTGCTCCGGTTATTGCCCAGAAAAAAAAATAATAAATGAGAATTAATAAAATATCTCTATAAATAAGAAGTAACGTATTAATAGGAGATGAGGAATTTAATGAGGCAATTTTTTTCCAACAATATTTTGTCCTTGAACTGTCAGGAAATATTATACTTACGGAGAATGAATAGTCAACAATTTTTAATATTGATGAGGGAGTAAAATGTGAGTTAAAATGTATATATATATATATATATTGTGTGAAGGCAAGCAATAAAATGTCGGTAGTGTGTGTGCGTGGGGGGGGGGGGGATACTCTGACTAAAATTATACAAGACTACCGCAGACTCGATCTTGTCACTCCCGATGTTCGCTTACTTATGATATCACCGCTGATTGAATTAGGCTGAGTATTACAGTAGTTTGTGGCTGTGTTAGTCAATCAATTCTCGACTATCGTGTCTGAATATCCAACGTTGCTTTTTACAACCATATGAGGTTTTTTTTTCCGTAATTCTAAATGCCTCACATTAATACAGCTATGGTTATTTGTTAACGTGTTAGGTACAGCTATGGTTATTTGTTAACGTGTTCGGTACAGCTATGGTTACTTGTTAACGTGTTAGGTACAGCTATGGTTATTTGTTAACGTGTTAGGTACAGCTATGGTTATTTGTTAACGTGTTAGGTACAGCTATGGTTACTTGTTAACGTGTTAGGTACAGCTATGGTTATTTGTTAACGTGTTAGGTACAGCTATGGTTACTTGTTAACGTGTTAGGTACAGCTATGGTTACTTGTTAACGTGTTAGGTACAGCTATGGTTACTTGTTAACGTGTTAGGTACAGCTATGGTTATTTGTTAACGTGTTAGGTACAGCTATGGTTATTTGTTAACGTGTTAGGTACAGCTATGGTTACTTGTTAACGTGTTAGGTACAGCTATGGTTAGCTTGTTAACGTGTTAGGTACAGCTATGGTTACTTGTTAACGTGTTAGGTACAGCTATGGTTATTTGTTAACGTGTTAGGTACAGCTATGGTTACTTGTTAACGTGTTAGGTACAGCTATGGTTACCTGTTAACGTGTTAGGTACAGCTATGGTTACCTGTTAACGTGTTAGGTACAGCTATGGTTATTTGTTAACGTGTTAGGTACAGCTATGGTTACTTGTTAACGTGTTAGGTACAGCTATGGTTACTTGTTAACGTGTTAGGTACAGCTATGGTTACTTGTTAACGTGTTAGGTACAGCTATGGTTACTTGTTAACGTGTTAGGTACAGCTATGGTTACTTGTTAACGTGTTAGGTACAGCTATGGTTATTTGTTAACGTGTTAGGTACAGCTATGGTTACTTGTTAACGTGTTAGGTACAGCTATGGTTACGTGTTAACGTGTTAGGTACAGCTATGGTTACCTGTTAACGTGTTTGGTACAGCTATGGTTATTTGTTAACGTGTTAGGTACAGCTATGGTTATTTGTTAACGTGTTAGGTACAGCTATGGTTACTTGTTAACGTGTTAGGTACAGCTATGGTTATTTGTTAACGTGTTAGGTACAGCTATGGTTACTTGTTAACGTGTTAGGTACAGTTATGTCGTGCTGTCCTTGACTCACAATTATTCACCCCATTTTTTTTTTCATCGGAGATTTTGAAATTTCGCGTGAGTGGTCGATCCTGCCTGGCAAACGAGTATTTTCCCCTCAGGTTGGCGACCACTCAAGTATAACTCAACTTTAATCATTGATTCCCTCACCTTTATACTCCCTGAT